GCAACTGCCCTCACCCAAATATAAATGAACATTAGTTCATTTGCATACTTGAACTTTTTCACAAACGACCGCTCGAGCAATACTTCCACTTTTTAGTGAACTGGGAATTTGCATTTCTTCAGAAAATTTACATTTTCTTTTTTTCAGAAAGCTAGCATTTACTGAAAAAACGATCGAAGTTCATGCAAAAAACTGATAGTCATGTACCAGCAGGCCCATGCGGCTCTGTAACGCAACCGATGCCCCATTTTGCTCCATGACGGGAGAAACTAAAGCATGGCCAATATGAGCCCAAGTGTTTGGCTGCAGTGTAAGGGATGTTCACGCTATTAGCGACCCGCGAGTTTAGTGCAAAAACGCATAATCGCACCAGCAGGCCTGATGCGTTCCAGCCTGGGTTGCATCTTATGCAAATGCAAAAACATATTTTCAAGAAGCTGTCGGTGTATGTGCGTGTATGTGTGTGTGTTTATATGTATACGGATTTCTGTCACCTACATTGAACTTAGCAACCGGTATAGCCGTGAAAACTGGAATTTCACAAGAATTTCTTAACCTGTGTGCCTTCTAAATATTTGAAAATCAATGTTTGCGTACAGCTTCATCTGACATTTGGAATCCCCAAAAAAATCGTACAATTTTCATGCATTTTATGCTGTGTAACAGCAGTGCAAAACGCATATTGTCGTGGGGTTGTCTGTGTGCGTATCCGCAGCAACTTGTCCGCAACTTTTAACTCGGAAACCACACAAGTCAGGAGGCTGAAAATTTAGGAGGATTTTCTTCACCTAAGTGTGACTCCGCAAATTTAAATTCAGCCTTTCCGGCCCGCGGATAGCACGCATGGTTCCGCAAAAGCTTTGGCGGGGAAATTATTATCTCGGGATCCTCGGAAGCTAGGAAGCTGAAATTTTATGGGTATGTTCCCTGCTCATGTGCGATCCAGAAATTTAAAAAAATTCAGTCCTTCTATGCGGCGGGTATGTTCCCTGCTCATATGCGATCCAGAAACTTTAAAAAAATTCAGTTCTCCTACACGCACGGCCCCGTAAGAATTTTGGCGGGTAAATTATTGTCTCGGGAACTACGGAATCTGTGAAGCTGAAATTTAGCATAGCGTCCCCTGCCCACGTAAGACTACGCAAGTTCTTGTCATCCCGTTGAAAGTCTTAGTGGAAAAATCATTATCTAAGGAACTGGAAGAGCTAGAAGGCTGAAAATTTCAGGAGCATGTTTCCTGCCCAAGCAGGAGTTTCGCCAACTCGAATTCAGTTACTAATTATGCCGAGCTCTCACGTGCAAATACGTGAAAGTTTTGTCGCAAAAATCACTCAAAAATCAGAAAATTCGGAGACTGAAATTGTGGAAGGGTGTTCACCCTTCGAGGTTTCAAATTCAGCTTTCACATACCGGTGCGTGAAATTTTTAGTGGGAAATTCTGCACCTTTTGAGTTTTTTTGCACAAACCAAAGTGCAAAACAGTGAAAATCGTTTGCAGGCAATTGTTCGGTGGGCGGAATTGCCAAAAAAAACATGATCGCATCAGCTGCTCTGGTGCGCGCTACTATTTTTATGCGTTTTTTTGCAGCTATGCCATGTAAAAACGCATATTGGCGAGGGTTTGTCTGTGTGTCCGTGTGTCTGTGTGTGCGTCTGTCACGCATTTTCATCTCAAGACCTAAAAAAGCTACAGGGCTGAAACTTTGGGAACTTAATCTACATGCACGTA